AGGGTCCCACGGGGGAGGGAAGCTGGGCCGTGCTCTCCCTCTGCGTGTGGGGGGAGGGGCTGCCCGTCCCCTCCTCCCCTCCTTGCAAGCACGGTTCCTGGCGCTCCCGGCCCCCTCGCCCCCTCCACGAGCGACTGCCCAGGGCATGCCCCAAAATCCTGCCGTGGGTGGGCTCTGGGAAACAAAAGCTGATCGCGATGCATCTGAACGGGGACGTGGTGAGGAGTCATCCTGGGTAAGATCCTGAGCTACGGCCTTAACTCTGCCCGGCCTCTGGAGGGTCTGCTGGAGTTGGTGCAGGCCCAGTCAACAGTAGGTCGCTGTCGCTTGCAAAGGGAAGGAGAGGCAGGACCTGGTGGGCTGTCAGTGCAGGTCAATGCAGGTGGGGAAGTTGTACCGAGCTCTGCCCAAGGGCTGGAGGGAAGGTGCCTGTGTGAAGACCTGTGGTCTCCCCCTACCCCATGCATGTACTTCCTTGGAAAGGACATGCATCTTCTCTTGAAAAGTGGTGAGGAAAACCTGGGCTTGGGGAGGGAGGGAGGAAGGAAGAGAAGAGAGAGTGCATCATTTTGCACCCAGAGTCCTCAGGGGATGCTGGGGCCACAATCCTAGGCACACTGCAGACTTGATGCTCACCTCTCTCCTTAAGCCAGCAAAGTGCATTGCATTGAAACAGCCCAAGGTTCCTGCTCCCAGGCTGCCCAGGACACTTTGGAACAGGCTGAGGCATTCACAGGGTGACTGGTTGCTGGCCTGCTCCTATCTAGGATGTTTCAGTATTTGGCACTGGCTTGCTCATCATCCATACCTTGACCTGCAAGAAGTTTTTTCTGGTTTTACAGGACACTGTCCTTTTTCCTGTAGCTCAGTGTGTCTGGCTGGGTGCATGCTGCATGGTGGAGTATCCTGGCTTTAATAGACTCTAGGAAAGTTTTTCCCCTAGTTGTCTTTGTAACGGGCTTAATGAGAAAATGCTACCTTGCTGCTTCAGGGAATCATTTGTTTGGCCCTTGCAGTCTATCCTTTTGTTCATTTCCATCCAATCTGTTGTGTGTTTTGACAAATGTTAGGCTGGTTTTATGCTGCTGAGGTTCTGGCTGGACTATTTTAGATGTGGATGTGAACAGCGGTTGCATGAGCTTTCTCCACACTGCCCTGGTAGTGAGGCGCAGCCCTGATGTGAAGTGTTACTGCCAAGTGAGAGCTGGTGGCTCTGCTGTTTGATCACTGCCAGCTGCTGCCCAGATGCAAGTTATTGACCCAGAACTGAGTGACTCACCATCCTGCACTGATTAGCGTTCTCCTGAATACTCAGCGTCTCTTATTTTCCGTTTTAGACCCATAACTCCTAGATCTAAAGACCGCTGCTTTCATTTTCCCCTCCAGAGCTAGTATCATTCTCGAAGTTGTGCAATTGTTGCTATCAAACTGGACTCCCTGACTAGCATGTTATTGCACATCACAGCACAATGCTTGCTGCATTCAGGCGGACAAGAATAATGCCTGGGAAGTGAATAGCAGACCAAGGGTACTAGTGGTTCAGCATTTGCCTTATTTGTTACAAGATTTCCTTATGTGGTAGATAGTGGAAACTGACAGCTGAACCTTCCTTATCCCAAACAAGATTAGGTCTCCTACAGCTTTCCTGTCTTGCATTGTTTGAAAATTTAAGGACCCTGTTGACCTTATCTTCCAGCAGCTTTGGGAGCCAGTTAGTCTTGGGAAGGAAGCCTTCAGTTTTACCTGGGATCTGATCTGGTCTGGGAGTGAACAGAGCTACCCTCTGGCGCACTCTTTTCCCTGATTAATCTGAGTTCCTGGCTGTTCCTTTGAGATTTTTAGATGGTCAGGGACTGCCTGTTTCTATGACCCAAACAAGACAAGGGTTTAATTTTATTCACTGCTTTTGCAGAATAACAAGTGTTCCCTCTCTTTTTAAAATGAAGAGGTTCCAGGCTTTTTGACTGGTTATTTTTGACTGAGCATTTTCCAGTTACTACCTCATTGGTGTCACAAGTTTAATTTTTCTCTCTTTTTGTGCATTTACTGTCCGGCAGCCTGCCCTTGCAGGTCTCTGTAGTGACATCCCCCTGCATTCACATGGAGAGATTGTTGCTTGATTTATTCATGCCTTCCCTCCTGTTCAGTATTTTTTGTTGGCCAATGGCATGAGTAGTTTGAAATGAACCTGAGTGGGAGAAGTGCTTTTAAATAGTTTCAGCAACAGTCTGAAAACTGCTACAGTACAGCTACAAGATAGCTCTAATGGCCTGGAACAGTCTCCACCCCTGCTTTGATCCTTCTCTAACTTCTGGATTCACATAGACAGGAGCATGAGGGGAAGTACTGCAGCATGCTGTTCTGCTTTTTAAAGCTAAAGTTAAAGGTGGTTGATAAGGCTCCAACTGACAGGTGTAAGAGGGGAAGTTCTTACATTTAGTACAATGGTGGCTGTTTGATATAAGCAAGGCAGGAAATCCCTGGATCTGGTTCCTG